TATGTTGTTGGACCTAGAATATCAGCTCTATGAAGCCAAAGTCTACCCAGACCTATGCCAGGATTCACCTAACACAGTGGTCTGCACAGAATCCAAGATTAATTTACTTAATAAATATTAATAATGAAGGAAGATGGGTCAATCCATTGATTCTCAGACATAATTTCAACAGATACTTTTAACAATTTCTACTTCCATGTGAAAGACACCTTGATTTTTATAGCGTGAACCCAAAACTGCTGTAATTACACTGCCTTACTCAATAGTGTTATAGGTCAAATTGAGCCCACCACCCCTCCTCAAGGATTGATGTAAGTGCCTCTTTCCACTCTATAACTTAGAAAGCCTGTGATGAGTTGCAAACATCTCTTTAAATCTTTGCTTAAACACTTGATGAATTTACAAGAATAAGAGCCATTCCCATTTGCAAGACCAAATACTGCTACAGAATTTAATAAAGGATTAAAAGAAAGCTATGGGAAATTTACAATCCCAAGGGTGATTTCAACAGGCTTATTTCATCTGTTATAAACCCAGGTCTAGAGGAATATAAAATCAGAAACTATAAAATAAAATCAGAAAAAAAGACCTAAAAGATCTAGAAAAATGTTCAATCCTTTGTGATATTGTACAGTTGTTTAACAGGTCATATGTGAAAGACAAATATGAGAATGATTTAGTACATCATGAATCTCCTACTAATGAAATGTGTATTGGTCAATCCTCTTATTTAGCAGCTCACTATAAAATTTCACCTTGTTAGTCATTGTTTTCACTGAAATACAAATAAACATTTATGTTGCAGATTAAAAAAAATGGTCAAAAGACATGAATAGACAGTTTTCAGATTTAAAAAGGATATGGGTATTACCATATGAAAAATGCTCTAAATCAATAATAATTAGAGAAATGAAAATTAAAACAACTTTGGGGTACCAACCCACACCCATCAGATTGGCTAAACTGACAGAAAACGAAAATGACAAAAGCTGGAGAGGTTGTCAGAAATAGGTAAACTAATGAACTGTGAATGGAGTTATGAGCCTAATCTAACCATTCTAGAAAATTATTTGGAAATATGCCCCCAAAGCTATTAAACTGTGCATATCTTTTGACTCAGCAATACTGCTACTAAGTATATACGCCAAAAATGATGAAGGGGGAAAAAAAAAGAAATGATGCAGGGAATGATTTCAGAAAAACCTGGGAAGACTTATATGAACTGATACAAAGTGAAGTAAGCAGAATCAGGAGAACAATTTATACAATAACAGTAATATTATAAAAATTACCAATTTTGAAAGACTTAGTAACTTTGATCAACACAAAAAACGACCACAATTCCAAAAGACTCGTAATGAAACACGCTGCCCATCTTCAGGCAGTGAACTGATAGACTCAGAGTACAAATTGGAAGCATGCTTTCCACTTTTTTCTTGCCTTTTTTTGGGGGGGGGTGGTTAAATACAATTAATGTGGAAATTTGTTTTACATGATTATACATATTTGTAATGTGTTCTTTTTTCTTTTCTTTTTAGGCCTTTTCAATGAATGAATGAGGGGCTGGAGGGAGGGAGAGAATTTGGAACTGAAAATAAAATTTAATTTAAAAAACAGTCAATGGCAGCTCATCCACACTACAATCATAGTTCTTACTGGGAATCTTTAGGTCTCTAGTTTTATAAACCCAAACAAATAAAATGACAGCAGATATATCACAAGGGTGCTGCTATCCTTGCACCATGATGCCAGGGTTGTATTGAAGTTCTACCATGATAAATGACTAACGGTTTACAAACACACTCCAGAGCTTAAACCAAACTACTGAAATTCTTCATGAAAAACTTCATCCCTCCCATTAAAAGAACATTAGTTAAAATGGTATAAGGTTGAAATGATATGAAAGATCATTTTCAGGTTACTTATTCCTCAGAATCTTTTCCAAATTTTCCTGATCTCAATTTAATTCATACTAGAGAAATTAGTTCTATTGTCTCTCTAATTATGTGACTATTCTTCTCTTCTGTTTTCTGGCTTGGGACACACACACACAGCACAATTCTTTGTACTGAAGAACCCAGTATGTTCATACTTGTGTGATAAGGGATGAAGATGTCCTAACAAGAATTGGGGGAGTCAGGAAAAGTCTCTTCTTGGACTAATCTCTACTTTTCCTCTGAAGAGTTATAGAACTTTCCTGAAATAATCTCCCTCTTTACTCCTTTGTCATTTGTTAGGGGCTCCCCATATAGGTCTGGGACCTCTTCTTGCCCTGGTACATATCCTCAGTCCTCTAAGTTACTCTGTGCTAGAATGCTCTGTATTATACATCCCTGGCCAGACCCCACCCCTAATATCCACAGACCTCTTTGTCTGTCTCCCTATGCTGACCTGGACTGGAAATATGACCCACTGTGATATTTTCTTAGATTGCTCAATCAGGGCTCAGTCTGGTATCTTTCTAGATCTTTGTGGAGGAGTTGTACTGGAGAGATCAGCTGTACTTCTTCATACTATTCCATCATCTTGATTCTATCTCCCCCATTTCCAAAAGTTGATCTAGAAGCAGATTAAGTACAAATCAGTCTGAATTTCCAGGAAACTGGGTTAGTTTTGGTGTGACCCCAGCTTTGGCTATACTCCAGAGTAAGCCTGAGTAGCTCTGAGAATCTTAGACACTACTAAATTCCTCATCTCCATCCTAAATGCTATATAGTATAATAGAAAGAGTAGGGGGAAAGGTGTTCAGCAACAGGGGAGAAATATTAGGGGTAACTTGATCCTAAGTGACTACTTACAAGTATCTGGTTCACAGGCAACAAAACAAGGAATGCATATAAAAAGAGAGTCTAAGAACTAATATCCTATGTGTAGAGGTGGCAACTAGACTGGAGGGTCATGTCTTAGGGAGGGATGTTACAGAAGCAGGGTTTCTGTTATGGATAAAGGTTAAGGGCAAAGAAGCAGGAAGACATAAAGATATCAATGACCATGGCGACAAAGACCATTTAAAATCAGATTCATTTCATGCTAGCTTTGTTAATCATGGTCCAATCTACTTCAGCCCGGTCCACAAGACTTCCAGTTCAAGACCACAACAGGTCTTCCATGGCTAATTTCTCTAAACTCTTTTTTTTTTGGGGGGGGGGAGAAGAGCAGGTAAGGGGTGGTGGTAGTGGAGACTGAGTCTCTCTATCTCACCTAGGCTGGAAGTGCAGTGGCCACTCATGCATCCAATCCCAATACTGATCAATAAAGGAACTTTGACCTGCTCCTTTTCTGACCTCGTTCAGTTTGCCCATGCTTAGGCAGCCTCATAGGCCTCTGCCATGTTGGTGCCAGGCTTAGTGTAGATTCCTTAGCCCATGGCAGCTCAGAACTCCCAAGCTCGGGGCATCCAATAACCTCAGCTTCCCTGGGAGCAGGTAATACAGGCAGGTGCCACCACACCTGGCTTAGGCTCCTCTTGCTACATACATTCTTTAAGAATTACAGAATCTCAGGGGTAGATAGATGGCTCAGTGGATAGAGCTCCAGCCTTGGAGTCAGGAGAACCTGAGTTCAAATCCAACCTCAGACACTTGACACTTACTAGCTGTGTGACCCTGGGCAAGTCACTTAACCCAGACTGTCTCACTACCACACCTCCCCCCAAGAAAAAAAAAAGAATTATAGAATCTCAGAGTCAGAAGGGATGTCAAAGATTATCTTTTTGTCCAAAGTGGGAATTCCCTCAAAACGTCGCTGCTAAATGGCCATACAGATTCCACATAAATATTTTAGTGACAAGTTTACTACCTCAAAAACTGCCCATTCCATTTATTAGATAGCTGTAGCTGTTAGAAGGAACTTCCTTATAATTGGCCAAAAATCTGTTTTCTTGTAACTTCTAAAGGATTCTAAAACAGAGTTCCAGCTGTGAGCAGAGCACAAAAAGACCAGTATCTACCTGGTTCTAGACATTACACTTCAATTTCTACACTTTTTTTTGTCTCTATTTTGGTGTTAATACCACCAACTCTGATTATCTGTATTAATAAGGGTACAAGAGTAGAAGCATGGATATTCAAAATGCAAGTAAAACTTTTTTTAAAAAGCCTTTACTATAAGTGAAAAAAAAGTCCTTTATTCTTGAGGGAAAATAATAGTTGTCTTCCAAGTTTTTGAAGGGCTGACATCTGGAAGAGAAATCCCTCTTGTTCAAACTATTTGGCCCCAAAAGGCAAAATCAAACTTGGTTACAGGATCTGGGTTCAAATTCTAGCTCTGCTACTTCTTCCCTCTGTGACCTTGCCTAAGTTAATTAACCTCAATGGCCTATTCTTTCCTTATCTGTAAAATGAGGGAATTGGATGAAATGACCTCTAAGGTTCCTTTCAGCTCAAGGGCAACGATTCCAGGATATAGAAGGTTGTAAACATATGTTTGATATAAAGAAAAAAAACTTACTATGAACAGAGTTATCCAAGAAAATGGGCTGACTTAAGAAGTGGTGGTTTACCTTTCCTGGAGGTAATCAAGAAAAACTGGACGACCACTTGGAGTGTCTGTTATAAAGGGAATTCTTTTTCCAAAATGGTTTAGATTAAGTGCTCCTCGGGCCCCTTCCCACTCTGAGATTGGGATTCTATTAATACAGTTTATGATTGCATTAGCTTCCCAGAGCCCACACCCCCAATCACTACTACCTTATGCCAATTTATTGCCTTGCCCTGGGGCATTTCTGTTTTAATCTTGATCTCCAATTCTGGGAGAAAAAAAAAAGGCTTTGTTTCCTGTTAACGGAATTTCAAACATCAGTTTGAGTAACTTGAAAGGGCAAAGATCTTTTATGGCATCTCTGAAGTCATATGACATAGATGGCTGTCTACATATGAAGCCCTGTCCTATCTCCCAATAACTCTGAACTGCACTTGTGATCCCTGGGGCCCCGGGAGGAGGTATTCCAGATAGTAGACATTCTGGCAACCTGAGGAAGACATTGGCACATCACGGTTTACCTCACAATGGCAAACACCAAAGAGTTGGGGGCGGGAGAAATAAAGAAGCAGGAGTTGGTAGTCATGTGTCCTGATACTTTCATGAATTCATCAGAAGCTAGGCTTTCAGCCACTTCTGCCTCCAGAGTCCAAGTAGACACCATTTATGTTAAGGAGAGGGAAAAGTCAGCCAGAGGAAGCAGCCGGAGATGGTAATATCACAGAAGCAGAAGTGTCTGGGAGACAAGAGAAGTAATATGTTAAAGGTCATATGTCTTATTCAGACAAATATATCACAATGGAAAAACTCCTCCCACCTCTGAAGAATTTTCACGTGTTCGGTGCTTTGAAACTATTTAAGGCATTTTTTCCTATTGTAGACATTTAATTCAGTCTGAGGCAGTTACAAGATAAACATGAAACTTGTCATATACATGTTATATACATATATAACATATACATTTAAATTAATCTCCCATTGTGACCTAGGTGCTACAGCAAGCCACTAAACATGATATTTTAGGATCAAAATCACAGAGAGTCAGCATAATATAGTAGAGAATCCCAGCACTCCCATTAACTAGTTGAGAGATTTTGAGCAAGTCATTTAGAATCTCTGAGATTCAGTTTCTTCATTTTTAACCTCAAGTTGTTGGATTAGATGAGCCCGAAGTTTCCTTCCAGAATTTGGAAAGAGACTCACCCAGATCTTCAGTTTAGCTGGTCTATTTCTGGTTTGTATGAAGATCAAAAACATAGTAGAAATGAGGGATGGCTCAGATATGGTGACAATATCACAGAGAGAGCTCCAGTGTTCTTAAATGTTATAGGAAAGATTCTTGTTTAAGGTATAGGTTGGATTACTGAACTTCCTTCCAGACTTTTATATTGTTAGATTTCTAGATATATGGATTCTCCTGACAGGTGAAAGTTTTTACTGTCCTTAGAACTGATGGGGTGTGGCCCAAGCAAGGTCTTCCTCCCTTGACCCAAAGGGAATCTGGCTCCCATTTGTCTACAGGCCCCAGCCCCTCATCTCCCTTTGAAAGCCTTAGCCCTATCTTTTAATCTTATTCAGATGCGCCTTTGCCTCTCACCCTAAAAGAATCTGGCTCCCATTTTAGGTTCTTTATGGACTCCCTTTGTCAACTCCTCTTATTTCCCTTTGAAAGCCCTAGCCCCACTTTTCTGATCTTATTCAGACGCCTTCCAGTTCCCTTCATTATCTATTCCCATTTCTATTCAATCTCTCAGACCTTCTAATAGGAATTCTCACCCACACCCTTTTCCCAGACCCTCCCCTGGTCACCCAAAGTCACTTTAGTACATAAGATCTACCCCAGCCCCCATTCAGATGCTGAGAATCTCATGCCCAAAAGGCTGAGACTTTCTCATGCCTGCTTGTCCTTACGGGCATCACCTGGCCCGTGTTTTATCACTAATAAACTTTTCCTCTGGCTAGAAGACGATCTGAGTTGAATTCTTTCACACAGGGCCCAGCATCGCAATCTCGGGTGTTCCCAGGAGCAACCCCAAACCTCTAGGCTCTTCAGAACCAAGGACCTAATATTTGAGATACCTGAAATCCTACTCCCTAATGACTAAGGTCATAAGCTCCCATTTAGGAGAAGTCCAGGACTTTGATCTCAAACACTTCAGAAAAGGAAAAATCTGTTGAGAGTTCATTGACACATACTAGGTATTCCTACTAGCATAAGGGAATTCTGAAAACAGAAAAGAGCAATATTCAAACTACCTCCTCAACAAATTATGCTCCCACTTGTCTCCTTTTCATCATCTAGGCCAGATAATGTCACTTCTTACCCAATATTCCAATTTCCTAGAAGGTCTCTGCAAATCTTCTGCTAAGATTTCTGCCTCCTTGCCACTCTTTAGATGACGTTCCTGCACCAAAGTCTGGACCTCCGAAGGCAGAAGAGTCAGAAATTGCTCCAGTACCACTGTTGAGGTTTAGGGTTTAGGGGTGGTGGGACTCCAAAAATCACAACATGCAGGTCCTGTCTAAAAGAATTCAACCCAAGCCTTCTTTTAGCCAAAGACAAGGTTTATTAGAACATCTATCATATTGGGCAGACTCTTAAGGAGTCTGAACATTAGTGAGCTATTGGCTACATTTGAAGAATATGAGCAGTGGCTAGATTATAAGAATCTGAGCACCTTAATGGAGACAAGATGGATCTTATATACAGAAAGACTGTGGGAGGGATCTAGGAGTGGCCAAGTAGTTTTCAGGGACAGTGAGGTAATAAAATTCCAGGGACCAGGACCTTGTGGCCAAGGGAGAATGGAGCCTCCCTAGGATTAAGGGTGGGAATCGGCTGGGGGCCATAAGAAGGTAAGACAACAGAGGGTTAGGCTAGCATAAGGGTAACTGAGAATTGGGAGACTGGGTGAAAGGCCAGTTGATGGGATTATAGCCTCAGATTGATGCCAGAAATTTGGCCATGTAGGGAAAGTCCAGGGTTTTTCCTTTCTGGGGTCCATCCTTATCACCATTCGATCCAAGATTTATTCTTTAGTGTGCATTTCTGGTCTCAGTCACTAATGGCAAAATTCCCAAAACTGGGTAGCTACCTCCTGATAGCAGAATATCCTAAAACACTGTCAAAATGTCTCAAGATTGGAATCATTTCCTCACGGACTATATTCCTGACTCCAAGCAGCATCCTTTTCTACCTTTCCTATCTAAAGTCCATCTTGCTCCAAAGGTATCAAGGAACCCAGAGAGTCATAAGCTATAGCCATCATTTGGCCCAGGAGACTAACTAGGAACAGCACCTTGAAACTTCAAACTCTACATGAAATTTTGGTTTGGCTCTGAGGCAGCTAGATGACTCAGTAGATAAAATTCTAGGCCTGGAGTCAGGAAGACCTGAGTTCAAATCAGGCCTCAGATACTTCCTGGCAATGTGACCTGGGTAAATCATTTAACCTCTGCTTGCCTTAATCTACTGAAAAAGGAATGTACTGAGGAAAGGTACTCCAATATCTTTGCCAGGAAAACTCCATGGACAGTATGGTCCACCAGGGCATGAAGAGTCAGACAAGACTGAACAACATTACAAGAAGTTTAGGTTATGGCTGGGTTTGTTTTCCAAGGACACACACACATACACATATGTATGTATGAAATATTAACAGAAATAATATATAAAACACAGGGACCCAGATTTTTTAATTTACCCAGTCCATTCATGATTGCCCACTATATATCCCTGCATTTCCCATTACTAAGTATGGTGTCTTGCACATAAGATAAGTGCTTAATAATTGTTTGCTAAATTGAATTACTGAACTGTTAATATTAATCCCTTAATGTTATCATAATTCAAATTTGCCCTATATTTTGTGCTTGTTCACTTACCTAAACCAGTCCCTTACATTAAAGATCTCTTCTGGTTCTAATATTCTGAGTCATGGAAATCATTTAGATCAACCTCATTATACAGAAAAGTAAACTAAGACCCAGAGGGGTGGAATTGACCTGGGCATGATCAAGTCTCCTGACTTCTACCAGTGTTCTACTCCGACTATATACTACTTATAAACTAGATAACATCTACGGAGCCCAGAGCTGGGCACACAACAATGTTCAAAAAAGATGTGCTGTTTTGGTTCACTTATTCCCAAAGGATCCAAACCTGGAGGCTCAAAGAAACTTTTATTCATTTTTTTCAACATATGTTTACCAAGCAATAGTATATGCATTGCACAAAGTGCTGTGAATGCCCTCCAGGGCCTTATATGTCCTATTAATAATTATCTTATCAATCTATTATATTAAATGAAAAATAGTTAGCATTTATATAGCACTTTAAAATTTGTAAAGCACTATACATATGTTAGCTTATTTGATCCTCACAACCCTGGGAAGTAGACGCTATTATTAACCCCATTTTACAATGAGGAAACTGAGACTCAGAGGGATTAATCAATCAACATTTATTAACTGCCTATTGGAGAGACCAGGTACTGTGTCAAGCACTGGTTAAGAGACTCATCCAGGGTCATACAAGTGGTAAGTGTCTGGGCCAAAATTCTAACTAAGGTCTTCTCAACTCCCAATCTAGAGCTCCATGCATCGTGTAACCTGACAACCTCACCGGGCAAGCACATGAGGTGGAACAAAATAAGATGAGATGTAAGTGCCACGTGGATAAAGCAAACAAGATTAGCAGAGGGAAAGGCCATTTCTTACCAAGGTGAGGAGAGGAGACAGCGATCTTTAAGCTGGGCCTGGAAGCTGAAAGAACACGTGAAAAACCCATAGGAAAGATCTGGGACAAAAAGAAATGAAAGGGTGTTTTTTCTAGATAAATCCCAGGCAAACAGATTTGGGTTCTGGAGTCTGCACGTGACTTACCAGAAGGTGCCTGAGAGGCACAGGAAAGTGGAGATATAGTGAGACCTGGACAGGTCGGCCTGCACCGCCCCGCCCACGGGGGAAATGGGCTTCCCTCCGAAGCCCCGCCCACTTCTGGCTGCATGACATCACCTCCTGGGGCCTCCCCCTCTCAGGTCTCCCTTCTCCTGGGCTCCTCTGGGGATCCGAGCAGGAAAAGCCGCCGGGAACACAGGGAAGGGAAAGGATTTCTATCCCAGACACAAGATCCATCTAAGGAAGGAAGCCCTGGAAAAGCCGCCACCGGGCTGAAGATTCTCCTTTCATTATTTTAGAATGAACGGATGTCACAAGGAGAGAGAGAGAGAAAGAGAAGGAAAAAGAGAGGGAGAGGGAGAGGGAGGGAGAGAGAGAAAGAAAGAGGGAAAGAGAGAGGGAGAGGGAGAGGGAGAGGGAGAGGGAGAGGGAGAGGGAGAGGGAGAGGGAGAGGGAGAGAGAGACAGACAGGGAGAGACAGACAGGCAGACAGAGAGAGCGCAAGCGCAAGAAGTGATGTATCGTGAGCTCCCCTCTGATTGGTCCACCTTGAGAAGAGTGTGGGATATGACTGCTTTGACTGGGCAGAGGCGGAGCTAGGCGGGCTAGTCTCCTGATGATCTCTGGGACTTGTAGTTCTGGTCTAGCTTTTTCTACGGATCAGGTCTTTCCAGGGATGTTTTGTTGCAGGTTTCCCTCAGGCTCGAGGTTTGCCTCTTGGAGCTGCAGGGGAACCTGCAATCCGAAGGCATGACATGCACAAAAGGAAGAGGTAATGGGTTCTCACTCTCGGGGATCTTCCAGGAAAGACTGAATGAAGAAAGATCACTTACTTGTCAGGCAGAGGAGATTCTCGCTTAGCTATTGTTTGACCTAGATGACCTCTGAGGTCCTTTTTAGCTCCGAGATTCTGTGTTAAACTCAGTAGCAAAAGGAAACTGAGACTCCCTTGGGAGACACGTCTAGGCTGTACCTCTTGCATCCATTCTTTTGCCCACCTCCTGGGCAGAGATGCCTGTGTCGGGTGATTTGGGAGAGGAGGCACCATCGCAGAGGTGCGAGAAAAGACCTTCATTCCTAGGGTGGTGTGTTGGGAAGGGGAAAGAGCACAGAGGGGAAGCACCTAGCGAGGAAATAGTGTTTAAGGAATGGTTATTGAACGTCTTAGAAAAGGAAGGCGTGCTTATAAAGAGTCATCGTGACTTTATCAAGAATAGATCTTGCACCAAGAAAACAATATACCCAATGACCATGATATTGCAAATGGAAGGAGCAATAACAACCACAAAAACAATTTAAAACCCTGAATGCTGTAATTACAGTGATTAAGTTCGGAGGGAAAAATGCATGACCCTCCCTGCTTTGCAGAGGTGAGGAACTATGGGTGCAGAATATTGATTATATATACACACAGACATATATACATACATATATATGCACACATATATCATCAGATTCCATTGATTTTCTGCTTACTTTTGCTGAATTGCCTTTTTTTTTCTTTTTTACTCCTTGCAGAAGATAACAGTCTAGGTAGAGGAGTGAGGGAAGGGAAGGAAATAAGCATGTATATAGCACCTACTGTGCACTAAGTGCTTTTTACAAATATTTGATCCTCTCAGCAACCCTGGGAGGTAGGTGCTGTTATTATCCCTATTTTACAGATGAGGAAACAGAGGTAAACACAGGTTAAGTGACTTGCCCAGGATCATACAGGTAGTGTCTGAGGTCAAATTTGAATTTAAATCTTCCTGGCTCCAAGTGTCATTTATTTAGCTGCCTCTAGGGAAAGAGTTGGGATTTATTGAGAATGAAGATGATATTGTTACTGGATAGGGGTCTTAGGGACCCTGAAATGCAAGGAAAAAGGGCACAGATGTGCCTCCAAAGAATTTGACCTCTCAAGCCTCTTTTCAATCCAAGTAGTTTATTAAAACACTGTTTGGGGTGGGTGAGATTCCTAGTGAGTCTGTGCTATTTGTGACTCCAATACAAGCAGGCCAGATTTTAAGAATCTGAGCAATTTAATGGGGGTAACAACAGAAGGACTGTGGGAAGATCTGGATGTGATCTAGGAGTAGGAAGTAACCTGGGGTGGATGGAAGGTAACAGAGAGGGGATCTAGATGGGATTAAAGGATAGGAAGTAGCCTAGGGTGGTCCAGAGGAAAGAGACAAAGAAGGACTAGGCTGGGTCAGAGGTACTGATAAAAGGACAACTGAAAGGATTATTGAGTATCTAGGGGGGGATGTTGAGGAGCTGGGTTGTGTTTTTGGGGTTCAGGTCCCATACCCTATCAATATAAAAACAAAAAAAAATTAAAACCAGACTTCATTTTCTTTTTTAAGGGTTTACTACAATTACTCTCAATTACATCACTGTAAACATTTAAATTTTTGTAAAGTATTGGACAAAGTCATGCTGTACTTATGGATAAGATGGTGAGAATGTAGGCTATATAATAGAACAAGAGTAGTCATTAATACTTTAGTGTCTAGTAGAGTGCTCCAGGCATCAATGCTTAGCCCTGTGATGTTTAACATTTTGTTAATTAATTTATTTATTTTTAGTTTTCAACAATCATTTCCATAAGCTTTTGAGTTTTAAATGTTCTCCCACTCCCTCGCCAAGACATGCAATCTGATATAGACTCTACATATACATTCCTATTAAATATGTTTTCACATTAGTCATGTTTTGAAGAATTAGAACCAATAGGAGGAACCACAAGAAAGAGGAAACAAAACAAAACAAAAGGAGAAATAAAAGAGCAAATAGTGTGTTTCGATCTGCATTCAAACTCTGTTGAGGGTGGGCTCTAAGAGTCTTTTACCTGAAACAGCAAGTTTCACTAATCATAGCTTAAAGCCAGATACAGTTAATTTTACTCCCATGGAGTTGTAATAAGTAATAAAGATTTACCAGGACTCACATACATAAGAGATTTCACTTAACATCTTTTCTTTCTCAAATTTAAACTTAGCCTGTTCAAAAGCCAATTATTAGAAATCATTTCTATCTATTGTACATACAGTTGCAACTTCTCAGCAAGTTAAGTTCATTGTTTAGGAACTGCATATTTCTAACAAGTTCTTTTTTTTTTTTCCAGGGTAGATGACCTTGCCCACAATAGATAGTTTCCAGGAGCCCTGGCAAATTTACGAAGTAGAGAGAATTGCCTTCTGCCCCTCCTTTTCACTCATAAGTAATTAAAAATTCTAGGTGTTAATATTAAAACAATAACTTCAAATAACTTAGTTAACAATCTGGTAATTTTCATAAGTGATAGTCAAATTGTTTTAACTATAAGCTGTTCTTTAATTACAGGTAAACATGGAAATACCTGATTTTCTAATTGACAGTTATAAAACATTACAAAGCAAGATTAACCAGACTTGATAAAATAATTTGGCTGGTTTTTACACAGCTTTCCCACTATCTTTCAGTCTTTAATTCACATTTTAATAACATGTAAATTATTAAAAATTGTTTGACATAACACAAAACAATACAAAAGTTTACTAATTTGTAACAATACTAGATTTTTAAAACTGGAAACAAACATATTACTAATTTGGATGAGCTAAATTATCTTTTGATTGCATTCCAAATACATGAAAAACTTTTCTTTACGATCTGAGGGGGTGCACCCTCCTTTTCACTATTCTCATTTTTGTCTCTCACACCCTAACTTGGCCAGGGTTGGAATGCGAGAGAAAGGAAGAGAATATTTTCCAACAACTTATCTTTGATAATCTTTCAATTTTATACCCAAAGCTTTGGCCAGGGCTTTAGAATGCAAAAAAGAAAGAGAATTTTTTCCTAACAATTCTCAAAAAGTTTCAAAACCTTTTTACTTTCAAAACCTCTAATCATACTATGCAAATAATTATACCTTCCTTAAACTTGCTACACATACTCCTCTCTCCTACATGCTTAAACTTACTTGCTTTTTACCAATCATATAACCTAAATAATAAAATATTTTTTCTCTCCTTCTCCCCCCCATCCACCCACTCCTGGGAGGTGGCTGGTATTAGGGAGGGGGGAAAGGGGAGAAAGCTAGCTAGCTGCAAAAGATTTCAGATTACACACATACACACAGACAATCACATAGAACAGATAACATAATGACAGAGAGACTCTTGGTTCAGAGTTTAGTTATAAATCCCCTACACAATTCAGACAACTCGTTTGGAGAATGAGCTTTCTCTAGTTCTGTTGTTTAAGAGAAAGGGAATACACATCTTTCACCACATCCTCTTCTGCAATTCTAAGCTTCTCATCAACTAGTCTATTCCTCTCTTCTTCTTCCTTTGTTCCCGCCCCTGCATTTACCCTGGGCACTTTTGTTGCTATGGCACATTCTCTGGAGGAGTGAGACATATTTTTAGCATGTTCCAAAATTCCTGTAGCTGACTATTTGTAATAAATAAACCCCTTTCTGTCACTATTTCCTTGAAAAGTTTTAGATAGCATTCTTTGTCTATGATTCTGCTTTGTGTTTGACCCATACTTTTGATCCCAGGCACGCCTCCCAAAACCAAAAGTAAGCACGTGTGGCCTTTCCAAAGCAACATTATTTTTTATGCTTGAACCCCTTTTCCTTTCTATTCTTATGCTCTAATTACCGAGCCTGTTTCTAAACTTTTCTTCTAATCCTTTTCTTCTAATTTCTAATCTCCCACTTAAGCATGGTGAGTCCCTTTAGCCCTAAAACTGCTAAAGGATAATTTGTAATGACCTTCGCTCCATTTACCTTGAATCTGCAGCATCCAGCTATGAAGGACCTTGTTCTACAGCATAATAGCTGCCAGGGGTTTTTTCTTTTCTCTGGAGCACCCAAGGGAACCACCTTCCTCGGAGTTTCCAATGTTGTCACTGTTCGGGGTGCCAAGTGTCACCAGCAACAGATAGTGCACCAAACGGGAAGGTGTGAAATAAATGTGAGACGCGGGCCAGGCGGAGCAGTAAAGACTGACTCAATTTATTCATCTGAGGGTACAGGTTATATAAAGAAAATCTAGCCTAACTTCAAAGAGTCCTCCTCGTGAGACACTCCCCAAAACATCTGCTGAGGATGTGACAACATACATTTCCTCGTTATCAGGGTTCCTAGATTGGGTTGTATTTTCCAAGGTTTTCCCAGGCGCCTTGGCGCCTCCTGCATAGAGGAGTGAATGTGTAAATCTAAGGTCCAAAGAGTGAGAAGGAATGTCTCAGAAGCCTCCCTTGCAGGGGGAGATTTGGAGAGCCCTGCTTCCTAAACGATTGAGCCCTGTGGTTTAAGCCTGGGCAAGAGTCAAACTCTGTCCTGGATCTTGAACCCAGATCAGACTCTTAGAGCTGGCCCTCAACAAAACTCCATAGTTCTTTCTCTGGATGTGTATAGCATTTTCCATCATGAGACTTTTGGAGATGTCTTAGATCTTTGCATTGCTGAGAAGAGCTAAGTCTAATAAAGTTAGTCATTGCACAATGTGGCTGTTGCTGTGTACAAGATCCTCCTGGTTCTGCTCACTTCACTCCGCATTAATCCATACAAGTCTTTCCAGGTTTTTCTGAAATCCATCTGCTCATCATTTCTTATAACACAATAGTATTCCATTACATTCATATACCATAATTTGTTTAGCCATTCCTCAATTGATGGACATCCCCTCAATTTCCAATTCTTGGCCACCACAGAAAGAGCTACTATAAATATTTTTGTACATGTGAGTCCTTTTCCCATTTTTATGATCTCTTTGAGATACAGCCCTAAAAGTGCTATTGCTGGGTCAAAGGGTATGCACGTTTTTATAGCCACATGGTTCCAAATGGCTCTCCAAAATGGTTGAATCAGTTCACAACTCTACCAACAATGCATTAGTTTCCAATTTTCTCACATCTTTTCCAACATTTATCATTTTCCTGTTTTGTCATGTTGGCCAAACTGATAGGTGTGATGTGGTACCTCAGAGTCATTTTGATTTGCATTTCTCTAATCAGTAGTGATTTAGAGCATTTTCTCATATGACTATAGACAGCTTTAATTTCTTCATCTGAAAACTACCTGTTCATATCCTTTGACCATTTATCATTTGGGGAATAAATTGTATTCTTATAAATTTGACTTAGTTCTCTACATATTTTAGAAATGAGGCCCTTATCAGAGACACTGGTTGTAAAAATTCTTTCCCAGTTTTCTGCTTCCCTCCTAATCTTGGTTGCATTGGCTTTGTGCAAAAACTTTTTAATTTAATGTAATCAAAATTATCCATTTTGCATTTTATAATGTTCTCTATCTCTTGTTTAGTCATAAGTTCTTCTGTTCTCCATAAATCTGACAGGTAAACTATTCCTTGCACTCCCAGTTTGTTTATAGTATCAGCCTTTATGTCTAAATCATGAACCCATTTTGACTTTATTTTGGCATATGGTGTAAGATTTTGGTCTATGCCCAGTTTCTGTCATACTCTTTTCCAGTTTTCCAGCAGTTTGTGTCAAATAATGATTTCTTATCCCAGAAGCTGAGGTCTTTGGGTTTATCAAACAGTAGATCGCTATAGTCATTGACTACTGTGTCTTGCTTACCTAACCTATTCCACTGATCCACCACTCTATTTCTTGGCCAAGTGGTTTTGATGATTGCTGCTTTATAATACAATTTAAGATCTGGAATGGCTAGGCCACCTTCCCTAGCATTTCTTTTCATTAGTTCCCTTGATATTCTGGACCTTTTGTTCTTCCAAATGAATCTTGTTATTATTTTTTCTAGCTCTATAAAACAGTTTTTTGGTAGTTTCATTGGTGGTGAGGGCCAGAGCTGGAGAGTCTAATATGGGATAACGAATTTAGGTTAGAGCTTGACTCTTTCCTTTTCCTACCAGTAAGGGCTTACTTATTCAGAATATTTGTCTCACCAATTTCTCATGCCTGGAAGGTGTTACAATACTCTGCCCCTTGAACCTTGATGGCAAACAGGTGTGAATAATTAAGGATGCACATAAGGGCTAGGGTTAGTCACTGTAAGAATGGTGAGAACGCCTCGGGGATGATTGTTAGCTTTCACTGTATAATCCGGACTCTCAGAATAATAAATTGTCTCAGTCTTTCACTGACCTGCCTGGCCCACGTTTCTTCATTTCGCACTCCTCCGTTTGATGCAACACTTAGTCGTGGGCGACACATTGGTATGGCACTAAATAAATTAACTTAGGTAGAATTGTCATTTTTATTATATTAGCTCAGCCTACCCATGAGCAATGGATGTTTTTCCTATTATTTAGATTTGACTTTATTTGTGTGAAAAAATTGTGTTCATATAGTTCCTGGGTTTGTTTCAGCAGATACACTCCTAAATATTTTATAATGTCTACAGCAACTTTAAATGGAATTTCTCTTTCTATCTCTTGCTATTGGGCTTGTGGGTAATATATAGAAATTCTGATGATTTATGTGGGTTTATTTTATAACCTGCAACTTTGCTAAAGTTGTTTGTTATTTCAAGTAGTTTTTTTCACTTGATTCTCTAGGATTCCCTAAGGTATCATATCATCTGCCAAGAGTAATGGCTTTGTTTCTTCTTTGCCTATTTTTAATACCTTCAATTTCTTTTTCTTCTCTTATTGCTAAAATTAACGTTTATAGTACCATATTGAACAGCAGTGGTGATAATGGACATCCTTGTTTCACTCCCAATCTTATTGGAAATGTTTCTAGCTTATCCCCATTACATATGGTGCTTGCTGAATAGTTTTAGGTAGATACTACTTATCATTTTAAAGAAGACTCCATTTATTCCTATGCTCTCTACTGTTTTTTAATGAGAATGGGTGTTATATTTTGTCAAAAGCTTTTTCTGTATCTATTGAGATAATCATGTGATTTCTGTTAGTTTTGTTGTGATATGATCAATTATGCTGATAGTTTTCCTAATATTGAACCAGCCATGCATTCCTGGCATAAATCTTACCTGGTCATAGTGTCTTATTGTCCTGATAAGTTGCTGTAATCTCTTTGCTAATATTTTATTTAAAATTTTTGCATGTATATTCATTAGGGAAATTGGTCTATAATTTTATTTCTCTGTTTTGACTCTTCCTGGTTAGGTATCAGCACCATATTTGTACCATAAAAAGAATTTGGTAAGACTCCTTCTTTACCTATTTTCCCAAATAGTCTATATAGTATTGGAATTAATTGTTCTTTAAATGTTTGATAGAATTTGCTTGTAAATCCATCTGGCCCTGGAGATTTTTTCCTAGGGAATTCATTGATGGCTTGTTCAATATCTTTTTCTGAGATGAGGTTATTTAAGTATTTTACTTCCTCTTCTGTTAATCTAGGCAATTTATATTTTTGTAAATATTCATCCATTTCACTAAGATTGTCAAATTTATTGGCATACTGGGCAAAATAGTTCCTAATTATTGTTTTAATTTCCTCTTCATTGGTGTTTAATTCACCCTTTTCATTTTTGATAAGGGTAGCAATCCTGTTCTCAGACAAAATAAAAGCAAAAATAGATCTTATTAAAAGAGATAAAGAAGGAAACTACATCCTGCTAAAAGGTGCCGCAGACAATGAAGTAATATCATTACTAAACATATATGCTCCAAGTGGTATAGCATTCAAATTCTTAGAGGAGGAGAAGTTCAGGGAATTACAGAAGAAATAGACAGCAGAACTATACTAGTGGGGGACCTCAACCTCCCCCTCTCTGAACTAGATAAATCTAACCACAAAATAAACAAGAGAAAGAAGTTAAGGAGGTGAATAGAATTTTAGAAAAGCTATATATGGTAGACCTCTGGAGAAAACTGAATGGGATTAAAAGGAATATTCTCTGATCATTTCATCAGGAAAGTTTGGAAGTCCCCTATTTCATTGAATATCCATCTCCTCCCCTGAAGGATTATGCTCATTTTCACTGGGTAGTATCCTCGGTTGTAATCCAAGTTCCATTGCCTTATGGAATATTGTATTCCATGCCTTCTTATCTTTTAATGTAGAAGCTGCAAGGTCCTGCATAATCCTAACTGTGGTTCCATAACATTTAGTTTCTTTCTGGCTGCTTGTAGTATTTTCTCCTTGACCTGGCAATTTTGGAATTTGGCTGCTATATTCCTTGGCGTTTTCAATTTGAGTTCTCTTTTAAGAGATGATCAGTGGATTCTTTCATGACTGTTTTACCCTCTGGTTTTAGGACCTCAGGAAAGTTTTCCTTGATGATTTCCTGAAAGATATTGTCCAGGCTCTTTTTTCATCATGGTTTTCAGGTAGCCCAATAATTTTAAAATCGTCTCTCTTGGATCTGTTTTCCAGATCAGTTGTTTTACCATTGAGGTATTTTATGTTTTCATCTCTTTTTTCATTCTTTGGTTTTTGTTTGACTGATTCTTATTCTGTCATAGAGTCATTAGCTTTCCTTGCACAAATCTAATTTTTAACAAATTTTTTTCCATTTCGCCAATTGTATTTTTTAAGGACTTGGTTTTTTTCATTTGTTTGTTTGTTTTGGGGGTTTTTTTAGGACTTGTTTTTTACAGTTAATTTTTGCCTTTCCTTTTTCAAGCTATTGACCCTCTCTTGCATACCTCTCATTTCTTTTCCCAATTTTTCTTCTGTCTCTCTTATTTGACTTTTAAAATCTTTCTTGAGCTCTTCCAAGAAGGCTTTTTGGGCTTCAGACCAGTTCATATTCCCTTTTGAGGTTTCAGATGTGGTTGTCCTCTTCTGAATTTCTGCCTTGATCTTCCCTGTCCCCATAATAAGAATCTATGGTCATGGTTTCTTTATTCCCTGGCCTTTAAAGAGATTGAGCTGTCCTGCTGGGGAACAGAGGGCACTGACCCAAGCTTCTTGTGTTGGGAGCCTAGGTCTTGGTCACTGGCTTTGTGTGCTGGGGCCTCTTATGTTGGCAATTGGAGGCTGTAGGGTTTTGGCAGCTTACCTTGTGTTGGGCTGGAATCAGCAAGGCTGGAACTTTCAGGCAATTCTAGGTTGCCTGCTTTTCCTTTCCTTTAGCTTTCTTTTGCTCCTTTTAGATGGGTGCTG